GGCCATGGAGTGCATGGATGCGCTCGAGCAGCAACGCAAGCACCGGCCTCGCGTGATGATTCGCATGCTCCGATCCCTGCCGGAGTCATCTGTCCTCCAACGCATACTGCCCGTGCAACACGCCACCTTCGTCATCAACACGCCCGAGAGCCTGTCGCAGCTACAAGCCGCCTTGGCTGCGTTCGCTTCCGCCACACCGCGCGACGAAGGAGAAGCTGCAAAGCCCGGCAACGACAACCGCGCCGACCAGAGCAACGATGCTGACGTTACCGCTCGCCGCCGCCCAGGACAGGCACCATGGGCTTTCGAGCAGCTGCGACTCGAAGGCACCATCACCGTCGTGTCCGGCATATCTGGTGTTCGGCGCCTGGTCGTCGGCATGTCTTCAATCGAGCACATTCACGACATCCAAGATGTCCAAGAGCTTGAGATCACGCACGGCCACAACCTTCGCCGCATCGAGCGCATACAGGACTTGAGCAGCGTCACCATATCCGACCTGCGCCACGACTCTGCACTGCGCGGACTCGTCGGTGTACCAACGGTGGAAGTGCAGGCACACAGTGAGCTGGAAGACATGGATATGGAGCCGCTTCGTGAATCGCTGCACGTCACACTCCGCTCCTGCGGTGTCCACGACATCAGCTGCCTGACAAGTGCACGTGTGCTCACCCTCAATGTGTGCCCGCGCATCACCGCCGTCGGTGCCCTCCCCAACCTGCGCGTGCTCGATGCATCGGCGTGCTGGGAGCTCGTGTCTGTCGACTTGACCAACCTGCTCAAGGTGAGCGTGCGCCACCCCAACAAGGAGTTTCGCTTCACGCCCTCCACCTCTTCCACGCGGCTGAAGTCCTTGGCAGTTGAGGGCCTCACGCTGCCCGCTGGGCTCGAGAGCCTTCCATCCGCGCCCCATTCTCTCGACCTGTTCATCAATCCAGAGCTGTACCTGGGTCGTCTGCGGCGCGCTGATATGTTCGCCGCGCGTCCTCGGCGTGCGCGGATGACGATGACCGCGGCCAACCTTGGCGTTGCGGTGGGTGCCGAGCATGTGGGTATCGCGTGGTACCACAACACCCGCTCCGCAGAGCTGGATGTCTCTGCCTTGGCCGCTGCGCAGTCGCTGGTGCTGGAGGCCGCCTCGTGCAGCGTGCGTGGGCTTGAGCACTTGCATCGGCTCCAGCGGCTCGACGTCGATGGCGCTTACATGGCAGACCCCAGCGTGCTCGCTGCCCTGCCCCACTTAACCCACCTCACATACCGAGAGGCACCAGCAGGGGTTCTTGACGTGCGCGCGCTGTCATCCCTCGTACACCTCAACATCCACAGCGTGGCTTCCCTCAATGACGACGCTGACGACGATGGCGAGGGACACACTGGTGGTGATGGTGATGGTGGTGGGCGTGGGCTGCACTGGGACAGCATGCTGTTTGGCCTTGGAGGTGGGCCTGGTGCACATCGGGAGCGTGGGCAGGACGAGGGAGGTGCAAGGACCAGTGACAATGACGAGGAGGAGCGTGAACGTGAGGGGAGTGACGCCGGTGTGCATGGCGCACTTGGTGTGGTGGTGGTGGTGGTGAAAGGCCTGGGCTGCCTCAAGCACCTGTGCCGCTTGAACTTGTGGAACGTGCACATTGAGGACGCGCCGATTGTGAGAGACTGTGCGCAGGTTCAGATTGCACGTGTGACGGGCGCGCTGACGATTGACCGAGCCAGCACTGTCACAATCACATCATGCACGACGCGCCTTGGTGTAACTGCACTGAGAGACTGCAACCACGTGCTGCTGGAAGCATGCCCGCTGACTTGCGTGAGAGCCATCAACGACATTGGCACGCTTGAAATTCGACGATGTGACGGTGCTGACTTGAGTGGCGTGTCTCGTGTGGGACGCCTGCTGTGGAAGTGTCACTCTGCAAGCCCCTTGCTAACGCTTGGACCCTCTGTGGATGTGATCAAGGTTGAGGTGGATGGTGGCCGACGCGGCTCATGGCAGGCCGTATCCATGTCCACTGAGCAACGTACACGTTGGCTCCGCGACGTCGTGCTGCCCGCAACCGCAACATGATCACAGTCTGTGTGTGTGCGTGTGTGTGTGTGTGTGTGTGTGACTGTGTGTGTGTGTGTGTGACTGTGTGTGTGTGTGTGTGTGTGTGTGACTGTGTGTGTGTGTGTGTGTGTGTGTGTGTGACTGTGTGTGTGTGTGTGTGTGTGTGTGTCTGTGGCTCTGGACTTGACCTCTCTTCCTCTATTCTAATAACTGACTGGTGTGTCTTCCACCATCCTCTTCCCCCACTCCTCTGTCATCTTATTTGCCAAGGAGGCCGGCTCTTGCTCTGTTGACATGTGTTAGCTGTTTGCCCAGCATTGGCGTCGTGCATGCTTTAAGAAGGTCATCCCAATCGGTGATAGACATGAGTCCGCCGACGGGACACAGTGGCACGTAGCAATCGGCAACGCCAAAGCAAAGGAGCAAGAGGCGTGGGGGGGGGGCGAGGGAAGAGAATACAAAAGTTCAGCTCGATTGAAGGAGAGAACACGAGCTGCCGGCAGCACTCAACGGCTGTTCATGTCGTCGGTTACCAGCACCTTCAAGGGCGGGTGAGGTGTAGGCAAACAAAACAGAAATGAAGAAGAAGACGGGGGAGAAGAGAAGAGGGGAGAAGAAAACAAGAAGAAGAGGAGGGGAGAAGAAGAGGCGGCAAGGACAGGGAGGAGGGGAGAAGACAATGAAGAGAATCACGCACGTGCGCACAAACGTAATGAGGCGCAAAACAGGCCCGTGCCGTGTGTTGGTAGGCGAATGAATAAGACACAAACAAAATAAACGTTGTGCGGAAGACAATGACACGCATGCCTTGGAACGACACGGAAGGGTGCGTCGTTGGAGAATGACAGGGCACAATAGAGTGGCATGAGCGAGCTCAGGCATGGGAAGCTCAGCTTCTTCATCGAATGGCCTCTTTGCTTGGCTACTGTAGGTCAACATCATCGACACGCACGTCCCTCTTGGGTAGGCAGGACAGATCAAGGCTGCCCTGGACCGCACGGTCGAGCTCCTGTGTATGTGCGTGGAGGGGGGGGGGGGAAGGGTGTCGGTTCCCGAGTTCATGAGTGAGGTAGTGAGGGCGCAATCTCTGCGCCCGTCCATCAAACTGGTGCTGGAGGCGGTGATGCCGCATGCACATAAAACCGAGCCACGACACATACACACACACACACACACACATACGCACACACACACATATTCACACACGCACACACACACACATACACACACACACATATTCACACACCTTGACGCCGATCTGGTAGGCATCGTTGATGTACTCTGCAACAGCGCGTGTGGCTTCGACGAGGCGATCGCGTGGAACGGCGACTGGATCCTGCAGCTTGATCTCTTCGGCGCCCATCTGCATATCGGGGGGGGGGGGAGCAGAGAATGGAGGGAAAGCGGGGGGGGGGGTCGGGACAGAGCAGACAGTTATTCACAGAGACAAGTGAATGGCGGTGGTGAGGTGCACGCAGGAATTGAGAGCATGCTAAGAATCATCGGCAAGTGTTGAATATCGTTGGATACAACATGCCTTCACCCTCATGTGCGCTGAACAAACCTTGATGCGAGTGACCAGGTGGGTGGCGCTGTCGCTGTCGCCATCGCCACCACTTCTCACCGCGAGTGGCCTTGCGTGTGCGCGCAGCACCTTGGTGGCGTCTGCGGCGTCCACGTGCAGCGCGAGCGTCGTGCGCATCACAACTGAACCCCACAGCAAATAACACAGCACGCGGCCACAACAAACGAGTGGGTGGTGGAAGGTAGTGAGCGCACATGATTGGATGGGCAGCATGAAGACGTGCCAGCGGAACTGCATGGCCGCTCTGTGGAACAGCGCAACGGCTACGATGCGAGGTTTGGCATTACCAAGGTCAGCGATGGTTTCGAGATGCGCCTTGATTGGGTGGTTGGAAAAAGTACGCGTCATCTCAATGCTTCCCCGCACCCACATCACTGCAGGAGCAAGCAAGTTCAAAAGAGGAACACGCCTGTGAGTAACGCAGCATGGCATGACAGTGTGGCTGCGGGCCTGCACTGCTTGAAACACACTGGCGAAACTTACACAACTCTGCAACACATGCCACATTGAAACACACACACACACACACACGCACATACGCACACGCACATACGCATACGCACACACACACACACACACACACACACACACACACACACACACACACACACACACGCACGCACACACACACACACACACACACACACACACACACACACACACACACACACACACAAACCTGTCCATTGATGCTGCGGCGCGCGCTGCAGTAAGCACGCTAGGTGGGGCAACACCGCCATGTTCATGGCGTTGAAGCACGCGGTGCACATGGCAGCACCGGTGCAATCGTGAATACCGCCGCTCACGCGTACAGCAGCTTGCTCAAAGCCTCGCGGAGGGGAGGTGACGGCCGGGTGGCGGTGATCCCAGGGACCAGCCATGGCATCCTTTGGGACGGCCTTCCAATCTCGCGTGGACTTGGGAAGCGTCCTGGCCGAGCTCAGCCGCACGCTTTCTCGCAGGGCGCGGAAGCAATCCTCACAGCAGTGGGCTGTGTGGACAGCGGCTGTGCTGGTGCCGCGGTGGCGACGGCGGTGGTGATGTTTGTGGTGACGACATCCCGGCTGACGTGTGCTGGTGAGTGGCCTGGTATCGACTCCTAGCACCGTATAGACGGAGTTCATGACCGTGTGCCACGTCGAGCGGGCAAGATCAAACGGGCGCCAGGCTGAGCAGCAATCACACATCAACAGAGAAAGGGGGGGGGCAATAAGAATGAGGGTGAGAATGAGATGAGCATAAGATGAGAATGGGGGCAGTAAGGAGAAGGCGCACGGAGGCCACGAACGATTAACGAATTGTGTGTGTGTGTGTGTGTGTGTGTGTGTGTGTGTGTGTGTGTGTGTGTGTGTGTGTGTGTATGTGTGTGTGTAAGGAAGGGATGAGGATGATTGGTCAAACAGAAGTAGCACTTGCAAAGTGAAAACATGAAGGAGACATGGCTAACCGAAGGAGACAACGGGGCCATCTTGAGGATCTTGTGCCTCTTGCGTTGTGCACGACACGGGCGCGTTCGGTGTGCACGCTGTGCGGCGAGTTGAGGTTTTCGCCCTCTTAGTGTCGGGGTTGCCACAGCCGCTTTGTGGATCGCCGCTGCCGCGAGACACGTTCTGAGTTTCAGCTTTTCCTCGCGAGGAAGACGCTGAAGACCCGGAGCTTCCGCCTTGTCTACCTCTGCCACAACCACCACCACCACGGCCATCATCGTCGTCGTCATCGTCATCGTCTGGTCGTCGGTTGTGCCGGGCCTCCTCACTCTCGTCTCGACACGGCGCGGGCTTTTGCGGCACGCGTGACTGGTCTCTGGTGTTGTCGCCCTGCGCACCGCTGTCTTCGTTGGAGCGTTGCTGTGCGTGTGCGTGTTGGTCGACGTTTGCTGTGCTGCTGGCAGAGCTCCGGCTTGGCTGACCATGCCGTGGATCGCTGACAGCTGAGCTTGCACCGGGCTCATGCCGATGCTCTGGCGGGTGTTGCACAGGGTGGTTGCCAGTGTCGGCGCTGTCGGGTTGCTCAGGCCTGCCTTGCTCGCCTGGCTCATTGCCAAGCGCAGAGGCGGCCATTGCTGCTGTTGGGTTAAAGTGCGCGCTTGCGCGTTCGCTAACGAGGCGGTCACTTGCATCCTGCTCATCAAAGGGCTGCGTATTGGTGCTGAGAAGCGGCTGTGCTTGCTGATGTCGTCTGGCCACTGGGTCTTGAGGGCCTGCAGTTGCAGCGCCAGGGCCCGAAGTCGCTGGGTTCGCTGGGTTTGGTGGGTTTGGTGGGTTTGTTGGGTTTACGCGGTTTACAGGCATGTGATGTGGCTGATGCTGTTGCCGTTGATCAGCGACGTTTGGGTCTGGGCCAGGGGCTTGGGGAGCGTGTTGGGGCAAGGCAGGGTTATGGGTGGGCAGGGCTTGGCCGTTGAGAGCTCCGCCCCCTGCCCCCACAGGTGAAACCTCCACCGTAATACCGACTTCATCGTCTGCGTGGTGCACAACTTGAGCGCTTCCAATGTCCAAGCTGGCCAAGCACACGATGGAGACTGCAGTCGATAGGAGCAGGAGGAGGCCAAAACGTCCATGGCTGTTACGTTTGAGCGCACAGCACCTTCTGTGCTGCTTTAGCTGCCATACACGCAAGCAGGCAAGCAAACACGGACCATGTCGAGGGTGAGAACTTGGCGAATGGCCCCCATCTTGCCCCCCTCCCCAAAAGGCTCCAAAACAGAGGGAACGAGAACAACGAGACGCTTCAAATGGCAGAATGGCACGACACACCTCGCGAGCGACGCCAATGCCATCCCGGCATGATAGGTACAGCACCATTCTTGGTTGTCTTGGTGCGCGGAGTACTTTGGGCTTTGGGAAGCGGGGGGGGGCGTCTATGTGTGTGATGTGCTCGTGCACAAGTCTGCGACGCCCTTCTGGCGAGGAGCTACCTTGCTGCTGCCAATGGACGGTCGAGGAAGACTCGGTGTCTGAAGATCCCCATCATAGTTTGGGTGTTGACATGAAGGAAGGAAGGATAGGAGCAGGTCGTCACATCATGTCAGACAATGATGGAACAACACGCGACGAAAATTCATGGAAGGACGAAATCCAAAGCCAAACAACCACGTCCGCCAAAGAGCAATAAATCAAACTCAAACAGTGACACTCGCCAGACTCGCACACACACGCACTCATCGTCCGTCAGGGTTGGTTATATGCAATCGGGGTGTTTGAATGGCATCATGATGCACACCCTGTTGCACACTGAAGGCACGCACCTGCCTCACAAGTGAAACGTGTTCCTTGTTCTTCGTTGTTGGGTTGTCGTTGTTGCTCGCCTTCTTTTCTGTCTTCTCTTGGACCTGTGATGTAGTGAGACAGCACTACAATACAAATCCTGAACTTAAGTGTCGTGAAGGAGTGTCAAGGCCGAACTTAAGGGTATCAAGGCATAGTCCTCCCGGAGTTCAGGACCAACACAGATTCCGAACCACACAACAGAACGGAACTACCACTCCTCACCAAGGACACCAACACCCAAGATCCGACCCCCTTGCTCGTCTCTCTTGACCTTGTGCCTGCCTCTACTTTCCTTGCTTGATTGTTGTCACTTATCTTATCACTCCACTTATCTCATCGCCCTATCCTATTACCCTGTCTTCTTTACTTGCGACTACGTCTCCCGCACAGTATACAGCAAGACCCTACTCTAAGTCCCAGTCAAACACTCTTACACACACACAGACCAGTCACATCACAACACTTGGTAGCGATTGTCGTTTCTACGATTCTCACCCGCTTATCTCTCTGTATACCTCCCAACTATCCAACCTTTATCAGGTCACGATGCCCGCTTCTACTCCTTCGGTGTACAGCGCCAATGCTATTAACGCTCCTCG